ATTCCTGAATGTGACGGCTGACTCCCGTTTGGTGCTCGCTAGCTGTATCTCTCGCTCCACTTCACGCTTGCACGAGCATATGCGAGTGTCATCAGCTCGACCACCACTTCGACAAGGGCTCAATCACAATTATTCTGCGCATCTGAAGACCAGAAACGTCAGCACACAGCCGACGAGCCGAAGGGACAGCAGAGCTTCTCCGCCAGACATCTTCAACTCTCAAATTTGTCGGGCAGCTCAGAACTGGCAATCATGTCTCCTCCATCTCAACCTCAAGTCAATGGCGGATCGTACGCTGCGGTAGCCAAGGAGGGAATTGATCATGACCACACGAACAAAGTAGTCAACAACACAACCGAGGCGGATGGACTGAGAAAAAGAGACAGGGCTACCGTGCAAAGCGGAGCGTTGGGCGCTGCGCTGACTGGTGCGGTGCAAAAACAACGTGTGAGTGCATGGTCGTGACATCCTCGTTTGGGATCTTGTTGCTGGGCATGGTGCGCGGATGACTTGATGGTTGGTGAATGCAGAACGCATGCGGCTGCGATCAGCGAACACGACGCGAGTGCTGGCGTGGTTGGTCTTCGACAGCATCTCCTTGAATGTACTCGGTCTGGCCTCCAGTCATAGACCTCACGCTCCAGGCGAACGAACCTAACTAGCTTTCCCCTTACTCGCGCCTACTAGCGCCGACGCCTTCACGGCCCACCACCCGGAGCGGGCTTTGGTCCGATGTACAGCGTGATGCGCTTCATCGGTGAAAGGTGTGCTGCCCACTTCTTCAAACGAGTAGAGATCATTGGAGGAGAAGATATACCGAAGGACGGACCCATCATTGTTTGCGCTACTCACTTCTCGTGAGTCTTTGCTCCGGTCAGCCAAGCGGGCCATGATGTCGAGCTCGTGTCTTGTGGTGGGAACGGCAGAAGGGATCCAATGCGCCTTTGCGAGTTTGTATGCCTGACATACCCGCCCACATTGCGCAGCACTATCATGGATGTGGCTCTAATCTCGGCATACTTGCCGCACCGTCGTCCAATCCACTATTGGGCCAAGAGGGGCTTGTACAAGCGTCAGCCTTTCAGGTGGATTCTGCATTCTAGCGGCAATATCATGGTGGATCGCAAGACAAAGGACAATCAGGACCTGTTTGCCGGGACCTTTGAAGCCATGAAAGCAGGAGAGGCTATTGGTTTGTTCCCAGAGGGTGCGTTCTGTCTGACTCAAATGAAGTCGTCTTGAAAAGCCAGAAGCTTAGATCCAATGAATGTTCACCGCAGGCGGCTCATATACTGAGCATCGATTGCATGGCATGAAGGCCGGAGCTGCCTGGGCCGCTCTCGAATTTGCCAAAGTGAGCCGGGATGCGACAGAACTACTCTTGCCAGCCATACTGACCTTCTGAGCCTCCACGTTCAAACACTTCTGCAGCATCTCGTCTTGGAAGGCGCGGTCAATCCAGCAAAGACAAAGCTGCTCATCGTTCCCGCCTCTCTAAATTATACTGAAAAGAGCCGATTCAGAGGCGACGCCATCTTCCAGTGAGTGAGACTGCGTGGTGCTAAAACACTACAATGCTTCGACGCTAGAATGGATCAGTATAAGCATCAATCTCGCGCTAACGCCCACCAATGCTTTCACTGATGCAGATACGGCAAAGCCTTCTCCATCGACGACTTCACGCGCGAATTTCTTGCTGGAGCAGCGCAAGATCTGCAAGAGTCCTACTTTGCTCAACGAAGGTCATCGGGCGACACCACTTCTGGCGCTGCTACTCCGGCGTTTCCCGGTCACTCTTTGAAGCTCGGTCTAGACACAGCCACAGCCTCTGGTCCGTCCGCGCCGCCCACACCCGGGCTCGGTGGGCCCACCACTGGAGAGCAAGATGCCGCTGCAGCTGCCAAGCGGGCCGTCGCGAAGCTGACGGACAAGATTGGAGAAGAGATACACAAAATGACCATCGATGCTCCCGATTGGAAGACTTGGCATGCCGCCAAAATGGCAAGGGAGCTGGTCTGGTGGCGACCTGCCATGGTGCCTCTCAAGGACTTTGTCGAAATCACCAACGCGTGAGTTGCGACGCTATGCTTGTTCCAATGCGAAATCCTGCTGATATACTATGCTGCCGCGACAGATTCATCTCGCTGTTCGACTCTTCGGAGTCAGTTGCCGAGGAGGCGCTGGATGCCTTGTTCACTCTGCAGGCCGTCTCTTTGGCAGCTCGAACAGAGGTGTTCACGCTGAACCACTTAGCACGGCGGATGGCACCTGCAACAGCGCGGACCGGCTGGGGATCCAACAGAGGTCAGCTAGATGCCAGAAGAGCAGCGAGCGCTTTGCCCTCAACTTCATCTGCTGCCATTTTCGTGCTTGACGAGGCCTTCAAGCTGGCCCTTAGACTCCCTCACATTGCCCTCATGGCGGTAGTCTATGCCCCTGCGTACATTGTCGGAGCTAGTTTGAGCTTGAGATACGCTAGTCACGAAGAAGAAAGCATGGCCAGCGCCAAGGCTTTGTGGTGAGTGAGCTTTCTGCGAGATAAGCACAGACACGGTTCGCTGATCAACTTGTTGCAACTGCGCGACCTCTGCCGCAGCGCTTTTGTAATTGCGTTCTTGACGCATGCCATACTGGTCACTATCGTCGCTGCGCTATTCCTCTTCACTCCACCAGGCTGGGTACTTGGGCTGGCGGCGTCCTGGATGGTGGAGCGCGTGCATCTGGCTCTCATCGATGATACTTACTTTCGTTTCAAGAGGCTTCACGCCGGCGCTCGAGTCCTGTTTGCCACGCTTCCATTCTCTGGCCCACAGCTTGGTCTCAAGACTCGAGAGGTTGCCATTGCTCTCAGCGCGTATGGAGACGGATCGCCGGTGCAGCACACCTACCGCAAGGCTTTGCGACAGATGGACATGAAGAGGCCTCAGCCTACACAGCTGGTGGGATTGGCTCTCGCTGCGCATTCGGAAGCTGCAAATGCGCTCAAGGATCTGTTGGATGCGGTCGAGAGGGATGCGAAAGAGGATGGAGAAGCTTTTTGGGCTAGCCAGAGGGATGCGGCCGCTTTTATTAGGGACCGCATGCCCCTGCCCAGTGCTAGGCTGCGCATCAAGAAGGCCTAGAGATTTCAAACCTTCTTGCCTGGGTATTGCCCTTGTGCTTGCTGAACTCGAGACGAATTCATGTCCTTCCGAAGTCAGCTGGTCATCAATTGTTTTGGTTTCACGAGCGTTTTCGGCGCCCAGCCCTCTGCACTCCGCTTCGACTCATTGTGCTCCAGACAATTGCTTTATCAGCTACGGTGGTGATACACAACAATCTGATTGCGAACGAGGTGATGAGATTTGAGCAGACATGGAATCGTCTACAGCTCCATGTCGCCTTCAAGATTGCATCTTCTGCACGGGCGAGCTTTTGAAGTCAATTTGCATGCGTCCACGTACGCAATCACCTATTACGGACCGTAATGCTCTTAGAGTTGACCACATGCTCCACCCTCACGATCGATCAGTGAGCTTAAGAGCAGAAACGTGAGGGACTGCAAAGGTACATGCGCCCATCAGCCTAGTCTACAGCATGCGAGTTCACACCGCAAACTCGAGCACCTATATAGCTAGCTGCACCCATGACTGCACAGCCGATCAAGAGGATCACGAATGAAACATTAACGCCGAGACTTCGCTTGACTACTAGCTTGGCGATTGTATCGATCGAGCTAGATTTCGGCGAATTGCTGGCTTGTTCGGACCGACCTTGCCCGAGAGCAGCAAAACATGGAGGACTCGTGAGTATGTTTTTGCACAATCGAATGCACAGTTCGAATACATACGAGGGCAGGTCATCGCGGAGAACGCTGGGAGCGGCGTATTCACAACTTATCACTGCGTAGTTGTCGAAGAAGCTACCTGTAGCAGTTCTGTATAAGTGCACGCGCCGTACGTTGCCGTCAAGGCCAGAGAGTACGAACATACATCCCACGCCTTGCTCGTCACATCTGAGCCGCCTCTGCATCGGCGGTGGATCGCTTTCATACCAATCGTGAATAGATGTGCCTCTGCAGTCACCAGTCCAGAAGAGTGATAGGAAGGCCGACGTGCCGTTGCTGGTGCATGACTCATGAGGAAGGCATTGACGCTCTCAGCAACGAGCAATGGAATTTGCTCACCAGCTTCCTCTTTTCTTTCCTTTAAACCCCACACACCCTTTCATGCTCCTCCTCCGCCAGAAGTACACAGAAACCCCTTGGCTTGGGCTATTGCCACTCGCCTCTCCTCGACATCTGGGCTTTCTTGCCTGACTTTACCGGAATCCCATCCGATATTCTGGTGGTCACCTTGAGCATCCTTGGCTTTCGTAAACGGGGCAAGCTCAACATTTGGCGACGGAAAGCGGCAGACAGCACAATCGTTCATTCGGTGCTAATCATCACCTTGCTCCATTTTGTCGTCACTTTGCTCATCCACATCGTGCAAGCTTGCGCCTACTTTGGCTGGCATTCTCAAATCTTTTGGCCTCTCCCGCGACATGAGTCAGTCTTTGCATCAGAGGACGGCATTGCCTATTGCGACGGCGCTGCTGCTGAGGCGTGGCCTGTCGATCTTTCTGCGAGCAAAGGTCTTCCTCTCTTGCCGAATCTTCAGAGATCTGCACAGACTTTCGCAAGCTTCCAGTGGTCCCCGGTGCAGCGAAGCTCGACGGCAATCTAGGGTGATCGCTCCCTGCATTGGCAACGCCGAGCAGATCGATCAACGCGCCGTTGTGGAACTTTCCAGACACGTGAGGATTGGATCGCAAGGTTTAGACGGACTTTGCGTTCCAGCCGACACGGTGACGATTCGATGGTTCTTCATCTTGGCACGTTAGGCTTTCCCTAGGCCT